AACAAATATCTTGTTTTAAGAACACAAAGAAAATTGTTTTCCCTCACATATTAATATCTAATGCCTGTGCTTTTTATTTGTAATTTAAAGCAAAAAGGCAACCCAAAAATTATACACATGTAAAGATATACATGTTATGCATGTACATATACATATGTATACGTATACAGTAGTATACATATCCCTTAATATTGAAGCAAAGATATTAAATTCAACATCCACACAACAGTATGCACAATCATATGTATTTTACAGAGTATCAAACCCAAATTCAAGAATATTGCATTTCACATTTTGTAATAAATTTGCCACGTTTTTATGAAAACTTCCATTTCAGCAGGCATGCTCTTAGGCCGCCATTGCAATTATGTATAATTCTTACTTTTTTTTTAAAGTGTACACACAACAAACATACATTTCTAATACAAACAAGTCTGTTGGTTTACTTTTTCATTCATACAAAAAGACGATCCTTTGGCCGTTAAATGAAATGATTAGAAAATTGCCGCTAACATTAATTAATCAATTCACTTCAGTTTCATTTTCGTATATCATACAAATGTATGTGGGATATTTTTAAATTTATTTGTACTTACATTTTGGTTTTGAAAATTCGACCTATTTTGGTTGCCGCCACGATTACGGTTACGATTTCCACCTCCACCAAATCCACCCTTGTTGCCAAAGTTCTTATTTTGATTCTGGCCGCCGCCATTCTGATTGTTAGGCCCAAAACGTTGCCGCTTCTCCGCGGGACCACCATCAGCGTCAATTTGCTTCTGTGGGCCGTGTTTTCCAATATTTTTATTAGGCTGATTATTTGCTCTTGCTTGACGCTGTGGTAGAGGTGCTGAATTGCCAGAATTATCCATTTTTGCAGAAATTTCCATTACAATATTTATGAAGAAAATACGTAGGACAGCTCCAATTACACAACCGTCAACCTCCGTATAGAAACTGAAGCGCAATGAGATGAGAATAATTGTGGAACGAAAACGTTCTTACCTGTCAGGGTTGCCTTTTCATGTATCGATATAAGCTAGCGATATAAAACTCACGACGTTATCGCTCTTAAAATGACTAAATGTAAATATAGACGCTTTTATTGTTCTCTGGTTAGTGTATTGTTTAAACAACAAAAGCTTGTGTAACTTAACAACACAGACAACTTGCCAAGTTTCAAGCATTTTAAATTATCATTGGTACATAGGACTTTTTTTTTATTCAAACATGAAGTTTATATACAAAAATTAATATTTTAGAATTTCGATAAGTAAAAAATAATTGTTTTTGAAGTGGGATGTCCAGCACTCTTAGGCAATCTATATTAATAAAAAACAAACATGAATATTTAGATAAACTGCTGTTGGCCAGTGATACTGTATATAAATATTAGCTTACCAATATCATAAAATCCTCTTTTTATATACTTAAGGAAAACTTCGATCGGCAAATTCAAAAGCTTGCGACGAAACCCCTCTAGTATTGCCAAAGTTGCGCAGGTCAGAGCTTTTAACTACGATAATGCATTATAGAGCTATAAATATGAATAAATGAAACACTTACGGTTGCAAATACAACATAGTAGACAAGAGTAGTTGGAAAAAGAAAGAGTATTGCAGAAAAGAATATAGTTGCCAGATATAGCTGGCGATTCATATAGTTGTGTGCTTCAATTCTATCTAAAGGAAAGCAATGGAACATTTATACTTAGATATTTTCATACATTTTAAATTTTCTTACTTCTCAAGATGTTATAGCGATTGCCTCGTACCACTTGCCATAATACTGTGAGTCCCTTAACTTCTACATTATTTAAACTGTAGGAAGAGATTAGGTATGTGAGTCTTATCTGAAATAATAATAAACTTCGCTCTTACACTTTGGTATAAACATAAAAACAATGAGCATGTAACCCAACAATTGAAATTAGATCCGCAAGCAGTGCAATTTGATACGTAAACCCTAAACATCCAAAAGCTCCAATTGCAAGAAACACCTGACGTACAATTGGTTCAATTAAATCTGAAATGAAAGTTTAAAGTAAATGTTAAGAGGGTCAATTCAGTACACCTAGAGATTTACCCAAAAACGTTGACCACAGTTCAATGTGATATTTAAAGCAATCAAGGAAAAAATTGTTAAGATGTATGTTGAGCTTTAAACCAATGGGACTACCCTCCAAAACTTTCAGCAAGCTATATAGCTGTTGTATGATAATCTGTAAGTAATATATTGTTTAAAAATGTAATACATCAATTGAAACAGGTAAACTTACATGGGAGATTTGTATTAGAAAATCTCCTGGATGCGAGACAAGTGTAAACAATATCAACATTAGTATGATACCCATTGCTCGATCTACCATGATATTTGTCAGCCTAGAACTGATTATAAACAAAAAGTTGAGAAAAAGTGGGTCAAATAAATATACTTTAGACATCTTACCCTGTTGCGTATATAGTTTGCCATTCCTTATAATGCGTATAAATGACTGTATGGGTTATAATGCTATTTACAAATGTGTTCCCAACAATATGTTTAAATAATTGCATGGGAATGTTTGCAAACAAATATAAAAACTGATTGCTATAAAACCAGATATCTTTTGATTTTCGTAATGGATCTGGTTTGGGTTGCACCAACTGGGCTAACATATAGAAATCGCATTCGTCATTAACATGACTTTCCCTTGTCCACTGGCTAATAGGGGTTTGCTCTTTGATAACAAGACTTAGTAGCGTTTGTTTATCATAAAGAACTAATTTAATTTGATTGAGGTGGTCAGGTGTAATGGCAGTGAACATAAGCGCAATGTTTGGCGAATCGTTTGTGTAGGTGAAGCATAAGCTCATGTCATGCGAACGACAATAATTCCTATCTTTATAGGAGTCGTTACAAAGGATTGATCCCAGGAAACGCATTTTATATGTGTCCAGCTCAAACTTATTGCTGTCTGCATCAATCACGTAGTACACGATGACATTGTCTTCGCTAATGTGCAACTGGCCGTATAAATGACAGGTACGTTTTTGATAAAAGTATTCCGTAGGTAAGAATATCTTTATGCTCATTGTTTTTATTAACTAGCTTAACTGAACTCAAAATACAAAACAAATAGATTAAGGCGATATACTCTTACTTATGTATATTTCGATAGCGCTTAACATCGAGTCGTATCGATATATTTTGAGATGGGATGGCTATGCATCTCTGATCTGTGTTTGTGTTTCAGTTCACCATTTCATATTTTTCATTTTTCACGTGTTCTGTTTTATATCGTTTCGCAGATATTTATTGACATACACATTCGCATTTTAAAGGGATACATATTTCGTCGGCTTTTGTTATATAGTTAAAATTTTTTTCGTGTAAAAAGATTTTTGTGCAAATTATAATGGGATATGATGGTAAGCTGCAATTTTGCGACGTGATGCCCATGGTTGAATCATATGTACATATACTCCAATGTGCTTGAGTTCAGGCTTCGGCTAATTTACACATGTATGCATATACATATGTACATATACATACAAATGTATAAGTTTACGTAAATAGAATAGGCAACTGTGTTAATGCTTGCCAAATTAGATTGCACATGTGTATTTACTATAACATTAGAGACTCTGTTTATTTGGAAGTGATCAAATCATACTCTAATCGTTTAGCATTCTCACCGGCCGACATATTGGGCGCTAACGCATATACATATATAATTGCATACACATGCATGTTTTTATGTACTGCATAGGTGATAGATTTTCGTTTTTGTTATCCTTGCTCTTGATTACATTTACTTTGCGAGAAACAGTCAACAATGCATATGTGTGTGCACGTCAATAATGCGACATATTGCATACTTTTTTCCCACCAAAATAATCGCGTTGCATGTGATAATGAGACCATTTTCACTATGTGTATATAAATATAAACGTGTACTGATGAATGAGAGTTTGTGGTCAGGAGGGGATGTGTACATGGATGCCTATGATTATGTACGAGTGAATCCCCTTTTAATATGCATCACACTATTTAATTTAACTTATGTAGTATTTAACTCATAGTAGTAATTTAAAAACTATATAACTACACAGATTAAAGTGTATATACATATTTGTACGAACGTGTACAGTACCTTCAAGAATTAAGCGTCATAAAAAAGATATTCACAAAATTGTGTATATGTATGTAAGATACATTTTTAACAATAATTATATAATTACAAGGTATACATATATAGGTTATAGCATAGAAAACACTTTTGAAATATATGTTTTAAAAAATATATAAATATAAATAAATAATTGTGGGCTCTACTTGAATAGATCGTGACCGTGATCGTGATAGGCGCCGCCATCGTTCCCGCTCTCGTGACCGGCACCGTGATCGTTCTAGGGACCGCCGCCACCATCGAAACTCGCGTCGCAAGCCATCATTATATTGGGATGTGCCACCGCCTGGATTTGAGCATATAACACCCATGCAGTACAAAGCCATGCAGGCGTCGGGTCAAATCCCAGCAAGCGTAGTTCCAGATACGCCGCAAACAGCTGTGCCTGTGGTGGGGTCAACTATAACTCGTCAGGCGCGTCGCTTGTATGTGGGCAACATTCCGTTCGGTGTCACCGAGGAGGAAATGATGGAGTTTTTCAATCAACAAATGCATTTAGTTGGTTTAGCACAAGCCGCTGGCAGTCCAGTGCTGGCATGTCAAATTAATTTGGACAAGAACTTCGCTTTTCTCGAGTTCAGATCTATAGACGAGACCACGCAGGCGATGGCCTTTGATGGCATCAATTTGAAAGGACAAGACCTCAAAATAAGGCGCCCACACGATTATCAACCAATGCCCGGCATTACGGATACGCCGGCAGTAAAGCCCGCTGTTGGTGAGTAATATATAATGAAATCGGTAAATAAATTTCTTTAATTTTACAAATAATATCACCAATTATCCAATAGTGTCAAGTGGAGTCATCTCAACAGTGGTACCCGATTCTCCCCACAAAATATTTATAGGAGGTCTGCCCAATTATTTAAATGATGAACAGGTAAGAGCTGTACATATCAAGTTGAAATCATTAAAAGCGAATACTGCATTATAGATATGTGTCTTTTGCTATATATTATAGCTAATATTTGATCAGTATATAAGAATTGGGACTTACCAATAATTCAGTAGAGACCCCAGCAATCAAAGCAGCTGCTTCCATAATCTCAGTTAAATATTTTAGAGACAAATTTAAATTAGGTTCAGACGAATGCTTTTAGAAATATACCAGATAAAAATTATTATTATTTATATTTCGTCCTTTCATCGGCAATGTTCATCATCCGTGCGCTCTGCCAGACATTCTCTATCTCTATTTATATCTCTTTCACTCTGTCTCTCTCTTCCTCTTTTTTTCTATTCCAATACATATACACAGTATTCCTTTCCATTTAGGATCTGTTGCACCTAATCAGCATTCTCAAATAATTTAAAGTTGATAAGAAGTCAACTATAATTATAAACTATTTGTTCTTAGTTAGATATCATTTAACTAAAAACTTTCATAGCTTCAATTGGTTTCATAATAAACAATTTACCGTATTGCAGGTGAAAGAATTATTGCTATCATTTGGTAAGCTAAGAGCGTTTAACCTTGTTAAGGACGCAGCCACGGGTTTAAGTAAAGGTTATGCCTTTTGTGAATACGTTGATCTAAGCATTACTGATCAGGTAAGCTAAGCCAATACATTTTGATATAGTTATTACTAACCTATAAATATACCCTTTAAAGTCAATTGCTGGATTAAATGGTATGCAGCTAGGAGATAAGAAACTGATTGTTCAACGGGCCAGCGTGGGTGCCAAAAATGCTCAGAATGCTGCTAATACAAGCCAGTCGGTGATGTTGCAAGTGCCGGGCTTGTCAACGGTAGTGACATCCGGTCCACCCACTGAAGTTCTTTGCTTATTGAATATGGTCACTCCTGATGAGCTGCGCGATGAAGAGGAGTATGAGGACATACTAGAGGATATTAAGGAGGAATGTACGAAATATGGAGTCGTTCGTAGCGTTGAGATACCGCGTCCGATTGAAGGCGTAGAAGTTCCTGGTTGCGGCAAAGTATTTGTCGAATTTAACTCGGTACTCGATTGTCAAAAGGCTCAACAGGCGCTGACTGGCCGGAAGTTCAGCGATCGAGTTGTTGTTACATCATACTTTGATCCAGACAAATATCATAGGCGCGAATTTTAAATCAGTTTTACGTATTTCACACATTCAATTTGTCCAATAAAAGCAGATAGTAAACAACAAGCAACAAAAATTAAAAATCATATAATAAAATACCAATTCATGAATTTTATCCAACATACCATCACTTTTCGTTCTCTTTGCATATAATGGGTTATATATGCATTGAMAGCCAAACAATATTAAATATCACTTAAGCCTTAAAATCTTTATTTGGCATTGACGAATAAAAAAAAAACGGTACAGTTAATATACATATATAAATATGTTTACATATGGATACAACATTTATAACAGCATTAACATACAATTTCTAATTTGTATTCAGATATATATTATATGAAAATAACTTAAAATTGTTAAAAAAGTGGAAATCATAGCTAGTTTAGTGATGTGCAAATGCAAAGACGACAAGGTGATAACTACATTAATAAATGTTGTAAATCTGAAAAGGTCTCAGATATGGCATTCGTTCGAAAGTACTGCTACGTTTGTACTATGAAGTTGAAGATTTTATTATCAACTGCAGCCGTTTTTGTGATGTCAGTAAGTGAGCTTAAATCGTTTATATTTTGGCTTTCAAGATTATGCTACAATATTAAAATACAAATTTGGCTATGAGATTGTGTAATAGTTATTATATATGTTTATATACATACATCATTATATATAGCTACACTCATGGTCAAATTATTAGGTGTGCATTTATTTTTATTTTTAAATGGTAATGGTAATGGTAATGTAACTTAAAAATTCAACTTGTATTCAAAAATAGACATATCATAGAATAATACCAACAAAAACAAGTAAGAACGTTGCAGTCGGGCGTTACCGACTGCGGAATACTCATTCACATCCCATCAACAATTTAGTAGTTAAGTTTCGCTCTAACATTGTAGAAAATGCAGTTTTTCCCGATTTGCAACGCCCCTACTAGGCGTAGACACCTCATTTTTGGTCAGTTCTTATGCCAAAATAAGCAAGATAATTACAATTGCATTTGGGGGCGCTAATCTGATGACGCAAAATAAGTGCACACATTTTTTGCGAAAATAGAAAAGAATAGAAAATAAAACATAACGGCTTTTCACTCGCGCTTTTTTTTGGTATGAGAGACATCTCATATGATGATAATGAAATAAAAAAAAAACCAAGAAGTTGCGTGCAATAGGCAAAGAGAAAAACGTAAAAGAAAATGAGTGTAAGGGGGGGGCGCTAACCTGATGACGCGAAGTGTATGTATCAATGTAATAACTTTAGCTTCGCATATGAGATTTTCCTTAATTTATCCATCAATACCATCAGTTCAGATATTTGTAAGTTCACGTACTTTTGCGAAGAAAAAATTAAAATAACATATTTTCATTAGGCTAATGCCAGAGTGGCCGCGAGAGGCAATGCGATAATATTGGGCGACAATGTGCGAGAAAGCTCTGCATGCAGACTTACATGTAATCGCTTAAAACATGTCAGAGTGCAAGCGAAGCTAGAAGAGAGTCAAAGTAAAGCGAGTTGCGAGAAAGCATTACTAAATCGTTGAATATTGGACATTGAATATATAGGACATCATTTCTAATGCTTTTACTCATGTAAAATTACTAATAAATTTTTTAAAAAAGTATGGGGGAAAATATGTCACCTTCGACCCTGATTAAAACTAAAAAAATAAAAAAAAAACTACTCATTATTTTTGAATCAACTGTTTTAGTTGTAAAGATGTGCAAATTTCTAATAATTTTTAATTATTCGTAATAAATTGTCACTTAAGATTTCGCTAAAATCTCAGGTTGAGCCGTTCATTTAAAAAGCGTTTTACGTTTTTTGTAGCCTGCGAACTTCTTGGTTTTTTGTGATTATCTTGAAAA